GCATATGTTCTGTAAGCCCAAACTTAGTAGCACCTTTCCATTTATAGTATTTATTAATTTATGTTAAGGGTGCCACAAGTTTTGATAATACGAAAACCATGAATAACATTTGTTTTGAAAAATTTGTGAAAATTTGTAAAGTCAAACACCTCATAAAAAATAGTGAAGAATGGACTAATGCTATGTTAAAAGCTCTATTTTAAATGACGTCAAATTAACTTGTAATGGGATCAATTTGAATCTTACATGTCTCAAGATTTGAAACACAATCATGTTGCGCATTTAGTGGAAATAAAAACTATCAGTTCGTAAAAAGTAATCAAAAAGAATGTATTGTTTTGGACTTTCTAACAATTTAAAACATAACATTAAATAAATAGTTATCAGCCTACTGATGAGAACATTTTGCAGTCATGGTTAAATGAGATATCAATTTATATAAAAAACTAAATGGTACGAAAATAGTCTAGTTAAAAAAATGATTGTTTTTGCTGTATACGACAAAACTGATATTGTGTCATATGATTGTTACTTTATTAATGGACCTAATGGTACTGGTAAAAAGTTTATTAAAAACACAATTTCACTAATATATAAGCCAAAATTTTAAAAACGGTTGTAATTGTTAACCACGAAAACTACTCAATCAAGTCATTTTGCATAGTGACTTTTGATACTTCCTAGACGGTTGTTACATAGATTTTATCTTTATCAATTAAATAACAATAGTTATAAATAAGCTCAAAGTTTTTCTCAAAAAACTCTAACTTTTAACTTTAGCACCATAACCAAGTGCCACCGAAAAACAGGTGTTCTGAACGCCAACGTCTCTGGTCTTAAACTAGGAAGCGTCCAGCCAATGTCCGTTCTTCCAATTAACCAAGTGTTTTAAAAACACGTTTTGCTATAACAGCAAGTGAGGGAAAATAACTCTGAGAAGTTCAGGCAGCCACATCCGCTGAAAATTTCATCAGCCTTCTATTCTATTCTTGAATTCTCCTCAGTGGTTAGTCTCAACAGAGTATTCACGAGAAAGTTATTCTCTAGGCCCACTTTATAACCAACGGTGAGCGGATGGTTATCCAGGGAACGATCTGAAGACGAGATCTTCTTTAGCTAGTGGCTTACCTCTCTCCAGTGCAATTACCGTATGCAGCGACTCCAAGGGTAAGACTCAAGCTACCCGCAGCTGGCTCTCTATTATTAAAAATAATAATAAGGAGTGTCTGAAAAATTTACTACTAGCCTTTTTCAGGGCTATTATAAGTATCAACATTGCCTAATTAACCATCAACCTCATCTGTTCATTTTAGAGCCATCTAACGTAAAACTACTTTGCCAACAAACACATTTTTACAACGATTTTTGGCAATGATTTGTCAACTAAAAAAGTATATAAAGCCGGCCACTATCAAATCAAGTCAATCACTAACTGGCAGACATCATGAGTGGAGTCTTTCGCCACGAGACTGGATACCCTAACTACCGACAACCTGCATTGCCTTTTTGATCCTAAGCATTCAACCAGGAATCATCGATCCTCTCCAAGGTTTACACTGGTCAAGCATAACAGTGACGCTATAATAAAGTTAAGATATGCTTTAGCAGTATTATTTTTTTTGAAACTTTTTTACAGCTTATCATTTAACAAAAACTGCATGGATTCCAAACAAAATTTTTTTCTAATAAAATTACGTGTTAACACACTGCGGCGCTTTACTTAGTGAATTTCAAGCAAAGTTAAGATGGGGGGCTGCTAGTTTTTAATATTTTAACATGTGAGACATTGATAGTTTGTGCTTTGGCCTTTACAGGAATCAAAGCCACATTAATTTTGTTTAAAAAACTAAATATAAAACATTTTGTTTGTTGAGCTTGTACTCTGATTTAACTAGCAACATTAAGTTGCAAAGTAGAGAGGCTAAATATTTTAAAATGTTGATCTATTAACACAGCTGGGATGAAGCATCTTATCTCCTTGATTTGCAATAGAAATCGCTATAAAACGTTAAGAAACATTATGCAAAACGATATGTTATTTGGTGAAAAATCGTTATTCCAGGTGTTGATTTCTGACAACTTTTACTGGTGTAAAGACAGGCAACAAAAATAGAAAGCATCAATTTATTAATATAAAAATATTTTTGCAATTTTTTATTATATATGATTTCAAACAAAACATGTAAACATTAACTACTAAAATTAAATTTAATAAATTTTTTTCAAATTTTGGTGGTGGACGGTTAAACAATAAAAATTAATGAAATTGAAATTGCTAACCTTTCCGAATGCATGTGTTATATTACCTTATACTAACATTGTAGAAGATATTTTTGGTGAATTTCTATGGCGTTATAAATATCAAGATTATTATACATTTTGTCATTTTTTATGGAAGAAATGGTGATGTCAATTCAGTTGATTAAAAAGTGATTATTTTACTTAATTTTACTACAGGAATTGTTTTTACAAGTATAGATAGCAGTAGTAATGGCGATAATAGAGCTCTCAGTGAATCTTTGTTACTTGAGTTCTTAAACATATTATTACCTCTATCTCTTTCACCCTATAAATTGCGTTTAAGACAGTATACAATTAAAATATTTATAAGAAAGTCAAGTATAGATAAAGGTTCATGTAATAGTACAGGATTATTAATTTTGGAAATGAGTGACAATCCCTTGTACTGTGAAATTTTAACTTAAGTAATCAAGCTTGAGAGATAGTATTTCTTAGTAGAATAACGTTGTATTTTGAAAATAATCGTTTTTTCGTTTTCAAACTTAGACCATTTCTGATGAAACTAGCTTTCTCCATGACTATTAAAAAATCTTAAGGTCAAAGTTTTACTTAAATTTCTATAGATTTACATACAGATGTTTTTCGTAATGGTCAATTTTATGCTACAACTAGCACCTCCTCCATCTTGGCTTCGCCCGAGAATTACTAAATGAAACATCATTGTATGTTGTCACCTAGTGTGAAACGTTTTCAGTTTAAAATTTTACATCTATTCTTGACGCTTTTCAGAACAAAATACGTCTTATTAAAAATATTTTTGTTTGTAATCCATGAAGTTGATTTGCCATTACCATTTCCAATTACCAGAGCCACAAAGTCCTGGAGCTTAATGTCTCCATTTTTTATCGCCACAATGTATACGAATACATATTATTCTACCTATCTAAAAAAATTGAAGAATTTAAGTGAATACTGGCATTAGAATTATCATGGAAAGTTAATCACGTGATAAATTCGTCTTTATTTTTCAATTTTGCCGACGCTGTTTAAATCTCAAAAAATATTCTGCGTCAGTTTTCTGTCGCCTAAGGATGTAAACATTTGAAACATTTAAAATTTTCCTTTCAATTCACTCTCTTGAGGCTATAGGTATGGTTAAAACTTTTGTGAGCCCTATGGGCTGTTTTTTGTCAACTTTGTTAAGTTGTAATATATTTGTTGGCAGAGTAGTTCAACGTTCAGGGCCCCCCGCCTCTTGCGCGGTAGCTCTTTCCTCTTCTTTCTTACGCTGAAAGACAGTCCCAACGAAGACGTCCACTGCCCTCCATCCCTCTACGGTGCGTAGCATCTCAGAGATGATGGTTTCGGGGGTGGGTGCCACGCCAAGCTTGTCTATCAGCTGCTGCCGCTCACGGTACCATCTCTCACACACGAAAAACGTATGTTTGACGGTGTCATCCAACGCAGAGCAGTAAGTGCATCTAGGTGATGCTATCACCACCATGCGATGGAGATAGGCATTAAACTGGCCACGACCAGAGAGGAACTGGGTGAGATAGTTATTAACCTTTTCGTGTCCTCTCTCCACCCATAGCCACGAATGTGGTATCAACCTATGCGTCCATCTGCCCAAACCAGACCGACTTCACTCTGGTTATCACGTTGTAAACGTTTTCTCCTGCCTATCTCTATCACTTTCATTGCCGGAGCCAAGGAACTTCCTTCGTGCTACTACCACAGCGGGAGTGGAGGATATTGTCCGATAGGCGCACACGATCCTCAGCGATCCGATGCGCTGCACCGAAGTAGGGCGCTCATGGATATATCTTCTCGTTATCGCGTCTGCTCACACCTCCACGACGTACAGCAGGATCAAGTTGAAGACCAACGTAAGAAGCCGTCTTTTGGCTTCCCGCGGAACCTCAACGTTCGGCATTAACCGTGAAAGCACCTCAGAAATCCTAGCGGTTTTGTCAGCTGCTCTCCTAATGTGCTTCCATAAGATGAACCGTGAATTGATCCACACTTCTAGATAGCGCACTACCAGACTTGGGCAGATTACCTCACCCGCAACGTTCAGGTGGAGGACCTCCCGAACCATCTCTGCCTGGTGAGAACGACCATTTCCGTCTTTTCAATCGCCAGCTCAAAACCGTGATCCCAAAGCCACTCTAACACTATCGTGACCACCCAGCGTATTTTGCGCTCGGCCTTCTCTCGGGATCTCGCTATGACGTTAAGTACTATGTCATCAGCAAAGCCCTTCAGCTTACCCCCGAAAATGTTTCAAGGTGCAGAAGTTCGTCATAGACTATGTTCCAGAGGTCGGGTCAAAGAGCACATCCCTGCGTGACCCCTGATGTCAGACGCCTCTCTCTCGGTCCGTTTTTTGTATCGTACCAGAGTACTCCGTCCTGGAGATAACTGTCCAGGATCTTTCTCAGGTAGACCGGTACATTCTGGTGCCTTAATGCCCTCATTATGTTGGACCATTTCGCCGAGTTAAACGCATTCTTGACATCGAGTGTCGCCAAAACTCAACGAAAAGTCTTAACTGACTCAAGAACCTCAGCCACAGCCATAACCGTCGAACGACCCTTTCAGCACCCATACTGATTTTCCGAGAGGGTGACTTCTCCTGTTAAGTGAGTTCTTATCAGCCTCTCAAGCATTTTTCCACAATTGTCCAACATACCTAAGGGTCGGAATAGCGACGAGACCAGAGGGGAAGGTTTGCCCTTGTCCAAAAAAACAAGCCTTTAGATCTTCCAATGGTCGCTGAACAGTCCAGCGCCCAGGCACGCATTAAACATGTCCAGCAAAAAGTTCGGTTTCTCCACAGCTACGACCTTGAGGACTTCAGACGGCACCCTGTCCGGGCCAGAGGCCTTTTGGCCTAGCGTCTTCGATGCCACTGACCTCAATTCATTTAGGGTAAAGAGAGACACTTGGCCTGTTTTCATGTCCTTCCACCTCTTATCAGGATGCTCTGGAAAAAAGCAGGAGATCGCCGTCTCCAAGAAGGAAGGTTCCATCGTCAGCGTCGGATCAGAGCCACACAGTCTTTTTAAGGCGATCCAGTGGCCAAGGCCTCAGGTATCGTTGCTCACCTCAGCAATGAGTTTGTGCCAGCGACGGTTCTTGCTTACCTTGATCGCCCTCACCAAGGCCTTTTTTGCGTTCCTGTATGCGGCAACAGCTACCTCGACATCTTCGCAAGTTCTGTGTCGCTGTGAAAGACGTTGTAGATGCTGCGCCTCCCCGTGCAAGTAAGCGATTTCTTTGGTCCACCAGTAGCACGAACGTTGACCCTTTCTGGCAAACCTTTTAGGCATACACGCGTTGCACCATTCCTTGACCCGTCTCATAGTGCCACTTATGAGTGCCTCGACCTCTGCCGTATTTAAGATCTTGCTCAAATCAATAGGAGGGGGCGCACTTACCATGGCTTCCTGCAGCAAATTTCGATTAAGTTTCACTACATTCCATCCGGTAACGCGCCTTTGGATTACTTCTCACGAGCTTTCTCCACAGTTCTTGTTTAACACAAAGCTGAGATACTGGTGATTACTTGCCGTGTAGTTCTTCAGGACTTGCCAGTCAGACACCCACGCCACCATTTGTGATGATATTAGCGTAAGATCGATGATCGTGCCCCGGTCACTTGGCTGCCTGAACGTTGCTGAACTACCAGAATTCATGACGATGAGATCTAGCCTTGCGGCAAACTCTATCACCGCCTGCCCCCTGGAGTCGGTTCTTGGCTCCCTCCAAGCGATGGCCTTGAAGTTGTAGTCGCCGACCAGGACCACGTTACCATTTGCCCCACACACGTGAACAGCATCCTCGAGTTTGGCAAGCCGCCCTTTAAAAACGCTTATCGAAATGTTAGTGGCAGTATAGTAACTTACATAGTACATACTTTCACACCTGATCCACATGATACCGTCTCTGCCTCCGGTATCGGATATGGAGAGCCTATCGCTGCGGATCAGACTGGCCGCGCATTTCATCCTGTCGTAGTACCAGCCCTGGCCCAGTGACGTGTGGGACGGCTTATTTTTAAAGAGCAAGTCCACACCCCAGACACGTGCAAGCTGGTCCAGCAGGTTAATGCGCAAGTATGGTCCTATCAAGGTTTCCCTGCAGGATCACCACCATTTTCACTGAGTTTATTTTGCAAACGCCAGCAGCACTTGATACCCGGCAGTCCCAGCGGCGAATTTGGTGTCCGGTTTAGGGATGACGCATTCACAAGGTAACAGCTCACTTCTTTTTTGGAGTAGTTCCGTACTACGTGGTTCCTTCCATCGTACCTCCAGCCCACTCCGGTCCTGTCAGGCTCACCACACTGCCTGGCAATGTGGCCAAAGCTCAGGCACTTAAAGAAGCACTCAACTGTAGACTTAAGCCGTATCCTGCAGTTGACCCAGCTCAGCCTCATGTGATCCATCTTATTCAGGATCGTAGTTTCCGTCGCAGGTGCCTCAACGTAGGTAACCTGATTTCCTCTGACAGTGCCAGACAACAGCCGCACCGCCATGACAGGAGCCTTCTCTTCCTCAAAACAGCGCCTAAGTGCAGCCTGCACGTCCTGCTCTGTCACGGTAGGGTCAACGTCTCTAATCTCGTATGTCAAACGCGGGGAAAGGGTTCTCACGCCACCAGCGCCTGCCACAGCGTTTTTTAGCGCATCGGTGAATGCATCGCGGCAGTTAGTTGTGGTGTCTCTCAACTTGACAAGTACACTACCTGATCTCGTCTCCCTGTTTGACCCCACGCCTGCCCCGAGCTTAAACACATTGACCCTCTTCATCAGGGCCAGGACCTCGGCATACATTTTGATTTCTGCTATCTTTACAATTATCGCCTCGGGCCTGGCCCTTTGACGTCTTGCCTCAGCAAACTTTGAAGACTTGGCTTTTGTCCATGGGGGCTTATTCTCCATAACCTTTTCCTTCACTGGTTTTTTTTCTTCTTACTTTTCTGGCCCTCCATCTAATTTTCCCCTCTACCCTTGCGGCCAGCCACGTCTTCCTCTGGTTGTGGCTCAAAACCAGTCCCTCTTGGCTTTTCTGAGGCCTTTTCTGGCGTCAATTTTGGGCTTGGGGTTTCCTCCCTCACCTTCGCTCCCTTTTTTTTCAGTTCTTAGCCGATCTCTGGCTCCTCCACTTTTCCAAGCCAATCCTGGTGGCGTTTAAGGGCACCTACAGCCATCGTGGCCAGCCCAACAAGATCTTTTATGGTCCTCGCCGTGTTAGGCTGCTTAGCCATAAGCGCAATAAGTTCATTCATCGCCCTCGCAAGTACCTCAAACGGGATGTCTGCGCTTCTTTGAAACTCAACCTCCAGGTCAAGCTTGGATCCCCTACTGAGATCATGATCAGGTGACTCTGCAGCAAAGTCAACCCTTTTTCATCCCAGTTCTGCCATAATTCTCCTAACTATAAGAGTAACGTCTTTGTGACCATCCCCTCTGAATCCGTGGGGCCCGCAGCAGTCACCTGGGCTTGCATTAGATAGGAACTACTCGAGTATTCTCTCAAAGAGGTTACTGCCTGGGGTACTAGTTTCACATTCACGTTTTTCATTATTAGTTTTTCTTGAAATCGTGTTGACTGGTAAGAGCCAACACTTTCCTTTATTACGAAAATAATTATCAGGAAAGGGTGAAAACCAGCGCAGCAGCCCACTTCATTGCCGAAGATAGGAGCTACTTGCTCGGGCCTGCCAGGAGCCACCACTCTCCCTTAGTCCCATCAGCCGAGACTGCCTTGGCGTTGTGTAGAGAAAATGTGGAAGTGGTGTATGTGTGTAGTATATGTATATGTTGGTACACTACAGTCAACCCAGCGAGACATGCGCCAGGTATACAATTCCACGACCGGCGCAGACAACCCATCAAAACGAACTGCCGTATGAAGGCACTGTAAGTGCCGCCATGTAGCCTCTTCAGTTGTAGTAAGCCTAGATTAGTCAAACCACCACGTCTCTTTTGTTTATGAGGCGTGCAGCCATATCAGATGCGGTTACCCAGACTGACCTGAGCCCCATCATCTGGCATTACCCGCTGCCAGGCCCCCTACGCCAAGAGAGAGACCCCGCCGCATGCAAACCGAAACAACTAGTAAGTATACCTGTGTTTTTAGAACGAAGTTCTTTATGTCGTGTACTGGGTGGGCTGGAATTTTAAAAACGACAGATTTTATGAAATGGAAGTGGCTTACCGGAAGTCTCTTCCTCCTAATTCATTGTATTTTCCCCCTTACCCCGTCGCCCTTACCATCAGTCCCCTACACACTTCCCCTCACCCTATCCTATATCTTCCAACCATCCTGCACTAATTTCCCCCACACTTTTGCCCACCATTCTCTCTCTACACTCTCCCAAACAATTAATTTTTAAACGGATTTTTATTTTATTTTCCCACAATAATTTTTATTTGACTTTGAATATTTTTCTTTTACAATTAAAAAAAAAAAAAACACTGTCCAGTAAAGAGATTTGAACCCCCGATCTCCTGTATGTGAGTCGAGTATCTTACCCACTCTGCTACGAGTGCTGCAGACTTGAGAAATTCAGTCTCTTGTACTTCTCGTGTGGTTCGTAACTATAATATTTCATTTTCATATGCATTCACTGATAATACATTCAATAAATATGAAATTATTTCTTTGATTGTTTATTAATAACGAGGTTCTTTATGTCACACGCTTGGGGGGCTGGAATTTTTAAAACGACAGATTTACATACAACGAAAGTTGCTTCGTAGAAGTCTCTTCCTTCTAAAAAAAAATTTTATTCTCAATAATAAATTTAATAAAAAGCTTAAGTAGCATGAATATAGTTTCATTGATTAAATTGAATAAGGCGCGTCATTATGCATACTATACCGTTATTAGTAGGTTTGCAAGTTATTGTTATAACTTTAGGATCATTAAAACAATGCCCATGCTGATGAGGTCTATTCAATGGAACGTATTAGAAAATGATTTTTTGTTAGCAAAATTAACCTATACTAAAAGTAATAGACTTTTATCATTCTAATTTTTTTCCTTGAGTAAACTATTCAGCATGAATCTTATCTCGGATGAAGATATTTAGTAAGATTGTTACAATAACATAGCACGGCTACTTTAAAAACTATTTCATATTTTTATACCAATACCTATCGCCACTGTTCCATCAAAATGTTTATGTTAATGTATCTTACAAAATATTTCAGGTTTAAAAGTATGCAAAGAAAAAATCTTTGTTACTGTAATTAGCGTAGTTATCATTTTTGAATGGGGTTTATAAGAGTTTTTTATGGTAAAAGAATTAATACTAGACAACAAATGACTTTTCAATCAGTTGTAACATATTTGTCTAAAAAAGTAGAAATCTACGATTTTACAATGCTTCTTCTTCTGGATAATCTTAGCATACTGGAGCTCTAAATTATTTTTTTTTTCACTTACTATCGTTCCCAACAAAATNGCGCATATGCATAGATGGCGGCACTCTTCATACAAGCACTCTCTATTACCATCCATACATGCCCTTTCTCAATATATAAGATATAGAAAATACTTGATAATACAAATTCACGTAATTTCTTTTTCAAGAAATTTTCCTTTGGAGAAATAATCAAGAACGAGAAAAAATCCTCCCTGGGTGCGGATCGAACACACAACCTTCTGTTTACTGGACAGTTGCTCTACCACTTGAGCTACCGAGGAGCTGTGCATTCACTCGCACCGTAAGTTTAGATAAGTTCTCGTTCTCAATTCTTAAGCTGTCTTTCACCTAAGCTCGATATTGTAGGCATGTGACTCTAATGCTTGTTGGTAAATTAGAATTCAATACGTCCAATAGGTATACAAGCGAACGTCGATACACTTTAATCATTGTATCAATAGGCGCATATG